GCTAACACAGCTCAAGAAAGGTTAAATATCCTCACATCTCCACCAGGTGAGAGGGGGCCAAGGACCACTGAAGGTCCCCTCGAATTAACAAGAGTGGCTCCTTGACACAGTCACTGAATGCCTGCACCTCGCCTGCCCTGCACTTTGCTGTGGGAGACTGTCATCCCTGCCTGACCCCTACCTTCCAGTTACCATGGTTATCAGTAACCGTACCTCACTTTCACTTAATCTCTTGGTAGTTGTATCTCTCACTTTAAATCCTCAGAACCACCCTGTGAAGCAGGTGGTCTCATTCTCCTTCAATTAATGGGGCAACTTCAACCCACAGGGTCTGCACCCCACCCCACTGCCCAAGCAGCTCAGCAGGTTGATGTAGACCCCGGCCCCTGAGGCCTGGTTTCCCATCCATCCCCCAGCCCATCACCATGCACAGGCCAGTGCTGCCCGGAGCCCCGGAATCCCATCCTTTCCCCGGGGAAAGGGGATCATGTTTTAGGGTGCCCATGCTCTTCCCATTGGCGGCTCCCATTTCTGCCTTGTGTCCTCTCCTGTTTGCCCCACTGAGCCAGCTGCAAGGGAGGCGGCATTCCGAGGTAGGTAAGAAAGTGAACTCACGTTGCCTTGAAAGAAAATAAATGCACCAGGTACATCACAGTTGTTTGGGGATGTCATCACAGAATTTTATACATAATAAATGAAATTATAACCTGTAATACAACAAAGACTGAATTGTCAGTAACAGATCAGGCATCTTGCAAATGGTCCATTTCGAAAGTCTTTAACTTTACAACCATAGGTTAGAGAGAAGGATGCAATTTATTGGACCCGTTTCACATTTTTCCTATGAATCATTAAATATTTAAGCACCATAAAATTCAAGCATCTCATGTGGCTGTGGCAGCCAGCCTTGGTGGTTTAAAATGCATTATGCAGAGTCTCTGGCAGATAATAACAGTGACAATTGCAGAGTACTGATTTTTAATGTCAATTGTTTTGTTCCCTGCAGAACTTCCTGATAATGTCCCTGTAGGAAATCGTGACTTTTTTGGTGTGGTATGGTAGCTTTTAGAATTGAAATAAAATAGCATTCCCAGACATTAGAGATTGACCAGGTTTAAATAATTCTAATTAGTAATTTGTATGCCTGTGAGAATCATAATATAATTATATATAAAAATATATTTTTCATATTAAATGGTTTGTTTTAAGTAGAACATGTGACCATAGTCAGTGCACCGTGGCCGCTATGTATTAGGTTTATAACCAAACTTAATTTCCAATGCCAGAGTATATGTTACGTCCCATGTTACAAATGAGAAAACTGGGGCTCAGGGAATTGGTATAACTCACCCAAAGTAATAGCAAAAAGTGACCCAACCAGATTCAAACCTGGGTTCAACCAACTCTAAAGTCCACATTTTCCCACTGTTCTTGCAGCCATACCGCAGCCATAAAAGTTAACAATTATCAAATTACTCTGCTGAGCTAATAAAAACACAAATCTAATGTACTTTCCTGGAATATATAGAATGATTTGCTTTATTATAATCAGAGACTCAAAATAAAATCTTTAATAAAATCCAGTTTTGTGCACCATTCCATTGACTATTTTCTTAAGCACCAAGAACATGTGTTAAGTTTGTTAGAGGCGACCTTGTGCCAGGAAGATCTCACATCACCAGGTAACAGAGATTTCAGCCCAAGTCAACTCACATGACATTTCAATAAAGAGTTTTCTCTCAGCCAAATCTCTCAAATCTTACTTCTGAAATTTCAATTTTTGGGAAAGCAGCTATTCTTCAGGAGGGAGTGATGATTAAAATTACTCCCACAACATATGTGCACACCCACAATCTCTTCTTACAATTATTCACCGGAAGCCAACTGATAGACTTGTTCATCTGAAACCTATATAATTTTATTAATCAATGTCACCCCAATGAATTCAATTAAAAACATTTAAAAATAGATGTCATTGCCCATTAAAAAAAAAAGGAACCCCATATGCAGAGTGAAACATCTAATGCCTGATGACGCTTGTTGAGTTGTCATTGAAAAAAGAATTATGTCAATAATGCTCAGCTCCGTGGAGACACTGGGCGTGCAAAGATGAGTGGAGCCTGGTCCTGCCCTCCGTTTTAGCAAGAGAAGGCAGGAAGTGTGATGAGACCATACAGGAGCCATGTGGGAACAGGGGAGAGTGGACAGGTCCTAGTCTCTCTGGGGAAATTCACATACTCTCCTCAACTCATTCAGTCTTTATAGGTAAGGAGTTGTCTGGCAGGTTAACTTCTGGGGCTGGTGGAAAGAGCAGAAGCAAAGAAAGTCACAGCGATCAGAACCCATTTCTCTGGTGAGCACAGAGGCAACCCAGAAGCCCCTGCAGGCCCCTGCACCCGTGAGAGGTCATTGCACTCCATAGGCAGGGCAGCCCTGGAAGGGGTTTTAAGCCAAAGAATAACAACCACATTTGCATCTTAGATAAACGACAACTGGGATGGGCACACAGAGGCATCAGTGGTGGGTGTCTACCGCAAGGGTGTAGGTGAAAGACAAGGCTGTTAGGCAGGTACAATGAGGCTGGAGAGGAAGGGTGCACCCACAAGGGGTGGTGACGAAGCTCAGGCCTTTGGAATATGAGAGCAGCAGGAACGGGCCACCACTCGCAGCCTGGACATAAACCGCAAAGGAAACCTGCAGTCCCCCGCTAGTGACCCAGAGCAATTCCTACTGGGCAACCTAGACTCGGTCCAACCAGCAAAGCGGGAGAGGGGTTCTTGGGAAGGAGGTTTTGGTACTGATAACCATCTGTGATGGATTAGAATAGCCTGGGAGCTTTGTTCATCCTTCACAGAGAAAGGACATTTCAAAGTGCATTGATATATGACCAGGAGGAGAAAGTAATGGCTTAAAACAACTCCATCTTCTCTTCCAAGAAGTTATTTTTCCATCTAGATAATTTAAAATGCTTCCCCACCCCCCACCCCCAAAAACAAATCAGAATGCATCCCTAGCCAGTTTGGCTCAGTGGATAGAGTGTCAGCCTGTGGACTGAAGGATTTCAGGTTCGATTCCGGTCAACGGCACATGCCTGGGTTGTGGGCTCGATCCCCGGTTGGGGGCATGCAGGAGGCAGCCATTCAATGATTCTCTCTCATCATTGATGTTTCTATCTCTCCCTCCCTCTCTGAAAACAATAGATATATATTTTTTAAAAATCAGAAGGCAGCATTTTGTTACATTTAGAAAGGGCTCTTATGTATGAAACCAGTATTTTGAGCAATCTCAAATTGTTCAAAATATCCCAGGCTCACCGTGGAGCAAACTGTTTTTTACAAAGTTTACTTGGCAAGCTTATTAAAGTTGATACTACCAAAGTTAAATTGTTTTAAATATGTTTCTTATGTTTCCTTTTTCACCCTTACTTCTTCTCAGAAAATGTTCTCAGACTAAGCTCATGAATGAACAAGACAAATTTTTAGAGTGCTTGAGTTTTGGTAATATATGATAAAGCTTTTGGAGACAGAAAATTGTAAGTATAAATAAGGTTGAAATTGGCTTAAATTTCAGGGGCTTAAAAATATGTACTATGCCATACCATAGTTTAAGAACATCAATGAATGGGTCAAATGAACTCAAGAAAGTGTTTCATCTTAAAATGCACATATTTTCTATTTTTACCAGAAAGTATTCTTAAAATAAATTATCATCCAAGGACACCTCATACAAGACTCATTTGAAATGTGTTCTGCGTATAAGGGCACATTCCTAATCAACGTTTGGTCAGGAAACTATTTCTTATAAACAAACTTTTAATTGAGTTTTCCTTCTCTCAATTATTTTTAAGTGCATTGAAATAGCACTAAAATGAGTGTCACTCTCTCATGAGAAATGTCTTTCATTTTCTCTAAAGTGACTTTTTTTTTTTAAATGAGAAAGGCAAGTTCCCTAAAAATATTTTTCAACAAGCCTTTTGATATTTGTGACTAGACCACTGAAATCCTGCCAAAACAGAAAACATAGCCTTTGCTATTAAGAAAACTACTCCTTTTAAATGGACATAACTCCTAAACTTTTGTAGAAAATGTTAATACCAAATGTCGAACTGCTGCCTTGGTATAATACTGATAGAACATATAAGAATGTTCTTAAAATTGGGAAACCAGGATGCTCCTATGAAAATGAATAACAAGAACATAAAATTCAAATTGTAGGCTGTCTTTGTTGCATTTCAAGATAATACTGTCCTTTCTTCTTCCTGGTGGGGTGACCGTGACTTAAATGAATCTTCTTACCTAGGTTTAATGAAGTCGGCCCTTCATTTTCTTGGAAGTGCATAATGATAGCTCTGTCACTTCCTCGTGTGAGATGCTATTATGTGCAGGGAGCGAGTGTCCACTGTGGGCTGCGAGCCAGCTCTGCAGGGGCCGCTGGGGACCTGAGCGCGATGCTTTGTATGAGCCGCGTGCTGCCCGAGGAAGTCCCAGGTGGCTCCCGTCCCATTAGCACGCACGCACCGAAGACAAGCTGGACCCCGACTGGGGAAAAGCTGCCTGTTTGGAAGTTCGCTGCCATGGGAAGTCAATTTTTGTGAATCACTGTCTTAATATTCATTAACAGCTTTTAGGCTCTTAATCCCTCATTGAATATATTTTTTCCATAATTGCTGCTTTTCAAACGGGTTGCCAGAGTAGGCATCTCCATTCTCTGACAGATGCAGCAGAGAACATAATGTTTTACGTTCATCTGCAGTGTGTTTATGCTAATGCCACGTCTCCAGAATACGGCCGCGTGGTCCATTCTGGCACAGCAATTCAGTGTGCTTTGAAATGAGCTGTTCACGCTGGCTGTGTGGATTTTTTGTGTTTAAGTCTCATTGGGTCATGGTTTTACCATTATTTAAAGTACATGAAAAAATAGATTACAGAGGAAATCATTTTGAAATGTTGGAAATCTCTACTTTCCAGTTTCATTTGTTGGCCTATGTATTTTTTTCCTGTAAAATCCACCCCAAAATCCCCCCTGTATTCCAGAGTAACTGACTTTAATTGTTTGAGGTGCTATTAAGCAATGAATGGAGTTTTTAGTAATGTAGCTTGTCATCTGGCCTTTATCATCTATTTGCCTTTCTGTGCATTTTTTTTTTTTAAATGATAAAGCTAGCTCTTCTATCCTCCTCAAGAAAATAAGGAGATCTGGGTTTCATCTAGATTGGTGGGTCCAACCATATCCATACACATAGCATTTGCTTAATCTGCCCGGAGCAGAGAAATACGGTACTGTGGGGATAAACGCAATCCAACAGAACGAACCGCTGTCACAGGAGTCGGAAATGAGCACCATTAAATCCCAGCTCGGCCCGGGACCACTGAGCCCCTGGGGAGTGTCTCTCAGTGGCACGTGGGCGAGTCCTGGGTTCTCTAGCTAACCTTCATGCAGACCTGACACCTGCTGATTTTCTGGCGCTGGGCCTGGCTTTCCTTTAAGGTTTCTGGCGAAGGTGCTGCGGAAAATTGCAAGTGTGGTTTGACCGCCGTCAGCCAGAAGCTGTACTTGTTTGCAAAGAAGTGGCAAGTTCCCTGCCGGCCTTGACATTCGAGGAAGGGAGTTGCGCGGAAATCTTCCAGGCAGCTGCCGGGTGACATGAGGGCCTGCCCTCCTCCTTGGTCCCCAGCACCTGTGTGCTGCCAGGACAACAAGAGAATTAGGGCTCAGACACACGCAGACAACCCCAGACCCAGTTGGGGACATGCCGAGATCTGGGCCTTTCTCATTTTTCCTGAAATGGTTCCACGAAGACCAGACTAGCTCTGCTGAGGGCAAGTGCAATGGAGATGAGTTGGGTACACACAAAATTCAACCATTCTCACCGATGCCTGAATCATCTCCAGCTTCTAAACGCTACCCAAGTAGAATTAAAAAAAACAACCTAATTGACAGTGAGGGAAAATGACCGCATGGCCTGCTGCTGCCCATGTGCCCGGAGTTCACAGAATTACTGTGCAGAGGGGACAGCAGAGGCTGTGATGAGACCGTGGGGTGCGGGGACTCACCATGAGGAAGGAGTACCCGATCCAGAGGCTCCGCCAGGCCCGCGGGCACGGGGGCACAGACTGGTCCTGGCTGTGCAGCGCCACCGCCTGAGCCGGGGCCTCGCACACGGCACAGCGGCTGATGTAGGGGCGGATGTCCTCCTCCAACAGCGGTGTCATGGGCAGGGGCGCGGCGCTGGCCAGCCAGTAGGACCTGTCATTTCTCCGGGCATAGTGGCACACTTGGTGGATGTTGCAGTAGGCAAAGGGCAGTGTGCTAAACACCGGGAGGCAAGACCCCGCCAGACCTTGGGAAAGAGAAGAGACAGCTTGGCATCTGAGCCACCTGTCCCGGCGTGCCCAGCGACCCTCCTGCATGTGCCATGTATAGACATGTGGTCTGGGCACACGGAGGCCCTGGACAAAGTCTACTTCTGTGCTGGCGAAAGTGGGTATGGGCCTGACTGTTTCTGCCACCTCCCTGGTCCCGTGGGCCAGGCCTCATTCCCACAGCCACGCATCACCCCTGAGCCGAGCACGCAGCCAGGTGCGGGAGGAAGAGCCACAAGCACCCCTCTCTTCCCCAGGCTCCTGGCCTGGCCTGGTGGGAGGCTGGAGGAGCACCCAGGCCATGAAAATGCAGCGTGACCAGCCCTATGGATGAGAACTGTGGGCTGGGATTTACGGGAAGTCTAACCAGATTGAAGCTAGGACCTGAAAGACGAAGTTTGGAGATGGTGAAGCTATTCAAACAGGATGCAGAGTAAACAGAGTCAAGATACTGAGGGAGCATGGAGCTCGGGGATCTCAGACGTTCAGGGCAGAGAGGTGGGAGAGGAGGTCTGTGTGTGTCTCTCTCAACCAGAGGTCAACCAGACAGCATGTGGGCTCTGTCTGTCTGGTTAAGGGGCTTGGATTTCCCCCCAATAGCTCTGCAGAGCCTTGTGATGTGCGCTCTGGCTCGACCAGGACAGAGAAGTGAGATTGCTGGTGAGGCCAGGCAAGAAAGACTGGCAGCGAAAAGGAGAGAAGAGAAGCAAGCACAGTCAGATATGAATGTACTTCCTCTCCCCTGGCCCCTCTGATGGGAAAGGCCATGGCTGAACCCCAGGGAGAGATAGAGAGGGACATGTCAGTAGCTGCCACCTCCAGGCCTGCACCCTTTGACCATAATAGCCCAGTGAGGGGTCAGGCCCAGTGAAAGCAGTGACAAAATTCTTGCTTCTTGCATAAGTTGTTGATTTTTCCCGCCCCCCGCCCCAACCCCCAACCTTCATTATCTGGGAATGACAGTGTTTGCCAGCACCCGGGTGCCTAAACTCTTGGCTTGAAGTCAGTCTCACAAATCTGCTATTGAAAACTGACAAGAAGTACCAAGGATGCCTCAAACTCAGTGGGAGTGGGCGGGGAGTTGGTGCTGGTGAACGCCACACTATGTAAGCATCGGGATGCTGCCAATACACCATTTACATTCAAATAATTTATACGGGGAAGTGAAAAATCCCCTTTTATACCAGAGTTACACTCACTAAGTATAAGTTTTTAAAAACTAATAACCAGCCAGATAATAATAACGGTAGCTGGAATGATCCCTTTGGCACGTCACAGGATCACAGATGTAATAGGCTTCACTGAGAATTAACATGGTAGTATAAATAGAGAAAAAAATCCCAAAGAAGACGAGTAATCACTTGATGTTTTTGAATTCATAAAACTAACCCAACAGCTTTACTTTTAGGCAATGCACTTGGGCATCCAGTGCTCTGTACGTACCGAGGTCCTGATTGTGTGCTCTCTCCTGTCCTTCCACGTAGAGCAGACTGTAGCCCGTCCAGAGCCTGGGCATGCCCATGGGGCAGGTGGGCTCTCCATCCGTCTGACTGTGGAGAACCAGGAGGAAGCCACTGAGGTATCCAGGGCCAACCCCTTTGGGCCCAGGATCCCCAATGGGCCCAGGAGGGCCTGGAGGAATAAAGGAAAACAATGAAGGCCATTTAGGGGGGTCAGTTTCACAAACATTTCTGAGCACGTCTGTTCGGTGCATCTCTAAGCACTCAGACCAGAGAGAGGAGCACAGCAGGGCCCACTGCCGGAGGGCTCCCTCACACCCCTGCAATCTGTGCACACTGCTCACTCAGCAAGCGTGTACTTCAACCAACCTCCAGGCATTGGGCTGTGTTAGCATAAAAACAAAACAGACAAAACGCCCTGCCCTCCTAGCGCTTACACTCTACCTGGAGAAATGACAAACAATACGCAATATAAAGAGGTAAAGTGTGAAATGTGTTAGAAAGTGATGGGCGCTGAGAAAGAACTAGAACAGGGTAATGGCACTCCTATGTGTGATCTTCCAGCTGTCCCAGCCTGGACAGGGCACCTGCCCGGCCAAAAAGGTAGTTCTCAAAGTTGGTCTCCCTGGCCTGCTCTCACACTCTCTCTAGAGGGGCCTGCACCTTCTCCCTTTAGGCATGTGTGCCTCTTTGCTTTCTCTTAAGCTCCAAGGGTCCTTCTTTTGCCTCTTGAACTTGTTTCCTGCGCCCATGCAGCCCAGCTGGCTCACTTCCTCACTGCCCACATTCTGTGACTTTCTAAATATACTTTTGCTTATATTTGGGCAGGGGAAAGTTGGTCTTTCCCAACTTCCAGAACCTGTCTTATGGTTCTGGCAGAGTGTCAGACCCATTCTAAGAACAAAGGCTCGGGAGCCACATGTTGGACTTCTGATCTTTTATAAGGGGGGACGTGGGAGGAAGGTCTAGTTCCAAAATTCTCAGTGGCAGCTGGGGAATAATGAGGCCTGCAGCATGTGAGCAGGGCCTGTCCCCTCTGGCATCCCTCAGGGACTGACTGACTGAAGAAGCCTATGGTGATTTCTAATTGCCAAGAGCAAAAGGGGAAGTTTGACTTTACAACCAAAAGGCTTTTGTTTTAACTTGTTTCTGGAAGACCCCCAGCCTCTCTGAGCCATTTGCACTGCACACCAGAGTTTGTGGACTGGATCAGTTTTTGTTTGACCCATTAGAGTTTCCAAGGTGAGGTCTTGGGCTTGAAAAGCAGAGTTTAGGGGACAGGGGGCTGCATGTCCACATGGCAACCACAGGCCCAGGCTGAGCTGCGGCTTCAGGCGGGGCTCCTTCTGGCTGCAGAGCCCGCCCAGCCCTCCTCACCCCTGTGGTCTTCAAGTCCCTGGAGCCTAACATTTATCCTGGTGCCTTATATTTCACATTTCTGTCCAGAAGAGTCTGCTCTCTCCCCTCACACAATGCCCACTCCCAAACGTTTTCCTTAGGAAGGAGCCGTGCATGCTATATACAGTTACCGATGGCCGTACACTCGGATGAAGTGACCTCAGAAAACCAGGGGCCGGGTGAATCAAGGGTGAGAGCAGGATCCTCAGCACAGCCCCTCAAAGGTGGTCACACGGCAGGTGCCAGGCTTGCCTTGGCACATGGGGCCTCTGAGATGGCTGAGCCTCTTGTGATAAGGTGCAGTGCTTTGGGAAAAGACTGGACTGGAGACAGGGCCTTGACTCCTTTGTAGGGTGGGTGAGAGTCAGAACGTGGGGATACCGCCTGGTTTGTTCTTGCTGTTTCCATCTCCCTGACACCTGGTGAGTTGGTGTTTAAGGCCAATGCTTTTCACAGATCAGCTTGGAGAGCTGGGGATCCCATACCCAGTTCTCAGATTTGCTTGTCAGAGGAAAGACGAGAAACTGAAACTCTTTACCTGGTGTTCCAGGGCAGCCGGCTTCTCCCGTGTCACCTCTGTGTCCCGGAGGCCCAGGAGGCCCTGGGATGCCATCCTCGCCTCTCCTGCCATCCAGCCCGGGCTCTCCTTTGCACCCTGCACAAAGTCCACGATGGCAGTGTGAGGCCATGTGACACCTGCTGGCCGCAGCACTCGCTGTGTGTACACCTGTTCCACCTGAACTGCGCAGCTCATTTCACCCTCCAGTGACTACTGTCTCCACTTGGCACTGGGGTGACGGAGGCTCTGAGAGGCCAATCAACTTGCTAATCAAGGCCAAAGAGCCCATAACGGGCAGAGGTAGGATCTGAAGCCAGACTTGTGAGGTTTTCACATGTTCTTCATATTCTTATATATCTGACCTTTATTTTTTTACATTAAACATGTATGGGTTTTACCATTAAGTATTATCCTAATACTGATTTTTTAAAAAGCCAGGATGAAGGAATGAATAAATTTAATAGGATTCAGCTAGAGGTCAAGTTAAATTTGGAGCCAGATAAGAACAGTGATTTTTTTTTGCATAGGTTTTTTTGAGTGTTTATAAAGTGCTAAGTACCACGACAATCCTGTTGGGTGGATGATCTAATTCAGCCTTGACAGCAGTCATGTGCCCAGGTACTCTCATGTGCCAGACTACCGGTGGGGAAACTGAGGCTCAGACCTGCTGCAGAGCCGGTCACACGTGGACAGGAAAGGGGCCCAGGTTGGCCGAGTCCAGAGGCTGTACCTCAGCCACCTGCTTCATGACAAGGCACAGAGCTCAGGTGCACTCCTTGGCGGGTGTGCGCTGGGGGCCAGGCATGGTCACATTGGTACTCGAAGGGTTCTTTAAGTGTTTGCTTACTTTGGGCCAAGACATCAGTTCATTGCCACAATGCCCTTTGCTCAGAGTAGCAGACATGGTCCTTGCTGTGAAGCAGTGTATTGCCAATAGCCCTACTTCCCCAATTTACTAGCCCTCTCAAGGCTTCCAGTCTTTAGTTATTATTCTCCCTTCTTCTTTTCCTCTCCCTCTCATTCTCTCAACCTCTCTACCTCCCTACTTTTCTCCCTCTCTTTTCTTCTCTCTCCCTCTCTCCTTCTCTGTCCTCTCTCTCTGCCACAAATCAGCTATCTTCAAATAACATATCTGTTATTGTGGGGGGTTGGGGGAACACAGGACCCCAACCCCAACCCTAACCCTAACCCTAACCCTAACCCTACCCTAACCCTAACCCTAACCCTATTGAACTCAGAGCATCCTTTCTCTCTCCACCCAACGAGATGATTCCAACAAGTGGCCACTGTGCTCTCTGGAAGGGGCTGCATGTGCTGATAAGACAACCCAGTGACCAGGCTTCCCATGGAAGAGATCAAGGGCGTCCCCCTGAGATGTCGAGTGGGGAGATCTCTGTGAATCTGGGAGAAGAGTTCTCTCACCAGACATTATGTGGCTTTGCTCCCATTAGGGAAGACAGAGTAATAGTCAGGTGGGTGACACTTCCGAAAACGGGAAGGAAGGCTTTTGCTAGCCCGAGTTGTGTGCCCAGAGCTTCCCACTACCTGGACTTACTCTCTACCTGGAACTTGCTTTAAAAAATAAAATGACATCTGAGAGCCCGCCAGTGTTCAACGGATGACCTCCGCTGAGAGGGTCCCGTGTTACTTGAAGAGAAACACCCCTCAACAGGATGTGGGCACGTCCATTAGGCAGTAACAGCTCCAACCACAATGGAAACCGCCTGGTATTTGTCACCGGGAGCCTCAGCCTTTGAAGCCACCCGGGGAGGAGAGGCTGTAGATCAGAGACGTGTGAAGAGAAAAGCACTAGACTTTCTGTGGTGGAGGCCCCTTAAGAGACCCGAGTGACACTGAGTGTGGCTGTGACGCATGCTCACTGGGGCAGGAAAGAGCAGGCAGGCTTTTCCCTATGTAGATCTCAGCTGCAACACTTGGTTATGTGCCTGGTTTCATCAGCTCAGCAATGAGAAAGATTTTGAAGGGAAAACGGGAGGAAACTAACAGTGTCATTTTAAGTAGAGGTGGGACTTCCTAGTGGCAGCTGATCCTTCACTGCCAACTTTGGGGGGGCGGGTGTTTGTAGCCCCTCCCACCTGCAGATGACCCAGGTCAGGCAGGGCTGGGCCACTTCAGGCCCTCAGAATAGACTCCTCACTTTTTAGCAACTGGACAGTATGACCAATGGATCCAAG